GCTCTGGACTGCACCTCCTGACCTCCAACACCACCCCCTGTGGTAGGGGGATCTGTCCTGCTTAGCTGGGTTTTAGACAGGCATGTATCTGAGTGGGTCTGACATCCATGTCCTGCTGGCATTCAAGAATTCCAAAGAACCCCTGGCTCCCAAGCTGGGTTTTCTGGGTAAGTCAGTGGTCAGGGAGCCTCCATTCCTGTCAGAGAAAGACTGGGAGGTGAGAGGGATGCTGGGGAGAACAAGAGGGCCATAGTGAGAACAGGTGAGTGCTCAAAGATATTTGCAAGCTTCACCTCCCTTTGAAGTCCTGCTGCCTCATCCTCCCCTATCCCTGAGGCTTTGGCTCCTGATTTATTGGGTTCTTATAGCAGAGGCACCTAAATTAGCTCCAGCTTAAAAGAGCCAGTAGAGGAGAAGGGCAATAGACAAATAACCCCTCGCTAATTGTGGCTGTTGATCAGACGTGAGCTGGGATGATCAGATAGGAAGGGATGAATCAAGGAGGGGGGAAGCACGTTCTCCCAGGACTCTGCTTTTTCACCAGACACCCCAACAATTTGTCAGAACCACTCCCGGGCTATTTTTCAAAGCATTACCCCTCACACAGGAAAGCATTTAGCAACTGCTCGCTAATGAGATGATGGGCAAGCACACGTGGCTGCCCCGAACTGCTCAGAGGTTGGGGACCTGGCCCTGCCCATGGCCTCCGGACCTGCTGCACCTGGCAAGCTCCTCATCTCACCAGCCCAGGGATGCAGGAAACAAGGGGCTGCTTTCAGCATCTTCCCCAAGTTAAGTGCCGGGCAGGCCCGGGAGCATCAGCGCAGACAGCTCTGCCCGCAGGCTGCTGGGAAAGGACAGGAAGGCTCTGGAGGCAGTTAGCATTTCAGCTCTTTTATCACCTGCCCCGATCCCCCCTGCCACATTCCTGCTTCCTGCTCCGCAGGGCAGAGGCGTGCCAGGCCCTGCACATTCCTGCAGCGACTCCCGGGGTCTGCTCCTGCTCAGGCACCCACCTCCCCCTGTCCCCACGGATCTCTTGGCTCCCTAGGACCGTGTCTTCTCCCGTACCCAAGCACAAGACTTGCTGCTTTCCTCAGCAGCGGCACAATTTTGTGCTTCAGTTTCCCCTGGCGGAGAAATAACAGGTGCTGCAGGACCAATGAGCGGGGGGAAGGAAAAGCCAGGGTCGTGATAGAGACAGGGCTCTGCCTCACAGCACCACGGAGAACCCTGGGGTGACCTGTCCCAGGGTGAGCCACCAGCCTGCCCAGCAGAGGAGAGGGCAGAGCAGCCCGGGGGAACTCCTGCAGTGCCCAAATTCTCAGCAAACACTAAAGGAACTCCTGTAACTTGTGCTTGGTGGAGGTGCCTTCCCCGGGAGCCTCTGGGCACCCCAGCAGCGGTGCCTGACGCTGAGGGCAGGGAGCAGGCAGGGCTCTCGCTGTGCCTCACCTGCGGCAGGTGAGGAGGGTCGGGGCAGCCACGTGACGAGCTCTGCTGAAGGTTTTTAGAGGCGGCTGCCGGTCCCTGGAGGAGTGTCACCCTCACCTCCCGGGAGGCAGGAGCACAGCAGCGCCTCTCCCGCTCCCCCTCGCCGCTGCCATGTCCGGAGTAGCCGCGGGGAAAGGCACGGGGCCAGAGCCCGACAGCTCCGAGGAGGAGTTGGAAGCGGGGGACGCACCCCAGGGGTGCTACAGGCAGGGTTTGTGGGTCTCCCAAGGCAGGGAAGCAGACGCCAGCCCGGGGGACACGGGAGGGATGCAGATGAGGAAGAGGAGCAGGCCAGCACGCTCCAAGGCCAGGAGGATGGCTGCCAACGTCAGAGAGCGTAAGAGGATTCTGGACTACAACCAAGCCTTCAACGCCCTGCGGCTGGCCCTCAAGCACGACCTCGGGGGCAAAAGGCTTTCTAAAATCGCGACCCTGCGGCGAGCCATCAACAGGATCACGGCTCTGTCGCTGTCCCTGCACGGAGCCGGGCGCTGCTGGCCCTGTGCCCACTCCGAGTGCCACGCCCGGGCGGGGGTCCCTGCGCAGGAGTCGGGGGTGAAAGGCAGCCGCCCCCAGCTGCCCTGGGAGCCCGGTTCCGCAGGGACACGGTGCCCTCCGACCCCTCTGTGGGCTGAGTTTTCCCCCCAGAGGCAGCTCCATCACTACGAGAGCCCGAAGGACCATCGCCCCCCGCCCAGCCCCGCCGGTTCCTCCAGCGGGACCCCGCACCCCGCGCCCCGCGGCCAGCAGCGATTTACGGGCAGCCTGCAAGAACCTCTAGCCGGGGCGGTCCCCTGGCAGCTGGGCTACTGCCAGGGCTGGGGACAGCAGCAGTGCCTCCCCATCCCCTGACCTCAGCGCTGGGGTGGCCGGACGGTGCCGGGAAGGTAACGGAGCCGTGGGACAGATGGGGGGAGCGGGAAGGGACTGCTGGGGGAGGGAGAGAAACGCTGCAGGGTGTGGAGCTCAGCTGTGATGCCCCCGACACGCTGTACAGGACCCTGCTGCGTGTCTCCCCTCTACGGGAAAACTGCGGAGGGTGGGAAGTCCTCTGGAAGTGCCAGCTCCGTGCTTCTTTTCGCGAGGTCTCACCGCTGCTGATCGCCGCTGTTATTTATTCTCTCTTGCTTGCTCTGCGAGAGAACACGAGTTACAAAGCCAGCAGCAGGGCAGTGGCTGTTAATATGTGTGGGATGGACAGATGGGCAGCGGGGATCACACTAAAGCCCCTGGCTGGCGGGTGGCTCTGGCTCCTGCCGGTGAAGGAGGGGAGCAGGAGCACGAAAAGGTTACTGCCCTGGGACTTTTGACGCTAAGCTCATTGGTACAGACGTTTGTGCCTGGCAGATTTTCGAGGCCGGGAGGGGAGACAGATGTCGGCTTTCGTAAAACCCACCCATCCGATTGCGGTTTCCTTCTGACACCGGGGAAGCGGCTCTGCTGGGACAGGCCAATAGCACGCTCCCGGCCAGGTCCCTCGGAGGGGAGGAAGGGGGAATTTAACTGAAAATATCCCTTTTGTCCCTTCCTTCTGGCTTGGAGAGCTTGGACCAGCTGTGAGGGCTCCCTCCTGCCCAAGGCTCAGCAAACTGGAATTGCTGCAGGAATCAGGCAGGGATTTACAGCCACACTCAGCACAGCTGGCAGATTTTTGGACAGGACAAATTGCACGGTGTGATTCCCTCAGTGCTGAACCCTGTAGAACTCCTCCAGCCCCGCTGCTCCCACCTCAGTGCTACCAACATTCCAGTGGCAGTCGGAGCTCTCTCCCTGCCTGGGGGCACGTGCTGGAACAACCATCCCAACCTCCTGCTGCTGGGACCGGGATCTTCTCCTCCTTCCTTAATCCCTGGTGGGACAAGAGAGCTGGTCCGGGAGCAGAGGAAAACTGGCGGCAGTCAAGAGAGAGAGCTCTTTGCTCAGCAAAGGAGCCTCTTTAAAGTGCTGATGGTGTGAGGCATCCTGGCTTCAGCCTCTGACAGGTGTTATCCTCGCCAGAAGAAGGCCTGCAGCCACATCCTCTGAAGGAATCCTGCTTCTCCCTACAGCATCCTGCCTCTCCCTGCTCTGGCTCTCCCTGGAGCAGAGCACGGCCCTGCCCTGCCCTGTCAGCAGCCGTCACACGGGGAGTGAGTGCCCAGCAACAGCAGCATCCAAAGAACGTTTCCGTGACACCTTAACAAAGACAGGAACCTTCCCTCCTCCCAAATTTGCATCTCCGTGTTTTTCCCACGCCGGAGTTGGTGGTCAGCCCAAGTGAGGCAGGTGGAAACAGATGGTCACAGAGACCCTGCCGAGGGTCACCGCCTCTGCTCTCACATCCACATTCACAAACTGTGTCTCCCAATTCTGTTTGGAGGCTGCAGGATGGGCTGAGGCTCCGGGCAGGGCTGGGCAGCAGGACCCGGCTGGCAGAAGGCTGTTCGGGCACCTCTCGGGGAGGCGGAAGGTGCTGGGTGTGCCCCGTAGATGGCACTCACTGCCAGGGAAACCCCTGGCAAATTTCGAACTGTAGCATAATACACAATGGGTGAAAAACATCCATGTTTTCCGGGCTCTGAGGTTTGTTTTAGCCCTCCCTCCTGCCCCTCACATCATCCCTGCACCCAAGGATGGAGAAGACGTAACTCACACTGCACCAACACCCTTTCTGCTTTGCAGGTCCTATGTGGGGACACGGTGTGTCACTGCTGCCGTGTCCCTGTCCCCAGCTGTGGCCTCGCCACGGTCATCCACGCACAGCGAGGGCAGGGCGAGCTCAGTCCAGCGTGCCCAGAGCCTCCCCCAGCGCTGTGCCTGGGGACGATGCTTTCCCAGAGCGGCTGGAGCCAGAGGTGCCACCGAGCACCCCCGCACTACCCAGACCCCGTCACCCTCGGGCAGCCCTTCCCAGACCCAGGGCAGCTCCAGGCCCTCTCCGCAGCCATGAGGGGCTCGTGGGTCTGCTCCGTGTCGCATGTCCCCCACCTGCCCGGGGAAAGGCTGGCAGCCAGAAGGGACAGCAAGGCTGTGTGTACCCCGCACCTCCGGAGCCGGAGGCGGCCCCGAGCCCCGTGGGCGCGGGCGGAACCCGGTCGGGGCTGGGCTCTCACGTAGCGCTGCAGCGGAGCGGAGCCCGTGGGAGCCCCCGGGAAGAGC